TATTATTCCACTGAATAGCTATAGCACATTTTGTTTGTTGGCTCATTGAGGAATATTTAGTACATTTATAATGTCTGGCTATTATTAAGTATTGTTTCTACAGGGACAGCAAGATGGCTCAGTCGATAAAGGTATGTGGTTTATCCCCAGACCTCACAGAAAAGTCAAAGGAGATAACTACCTCTACAAAGATGCCTTTTGACCTCTGCATATGTGCCATGTCACAAGTGTCCCCACACACAATAATTTTAAAACAATTTTAAGTGATTGTTTAAAAATGCTACTATGAGCCGGGTGGTGGTGGTGGTGGCGGCGGCGGCGGCGGCGGCGGCGGCGGCGGCGGCGGCGGCGCACGCCTTTAATCCCAGCACTAGGGAGGCAGAGGCAGGTGATTCTCTGTGAGTTCGAGGTCAGCCTAGGCTACAGAGTGAGTTCCAGGACAGGCTCCAAAGCTACACAGAGAAACCCTGTCTCGAAAAACCAAAAAAAAAAAAAAAAAAAAAAAAAATGCTACTATGAACACTTATGAACAAGCTTTTGTGAGTCTTCAATTTTCTAAGATATACACACATATGTACACACAAACACACACACACACACAGAGGAATAGGAGTGTAGGCAATATGATAATATGACATCTGTTTAACTTTTTTACTGTGTTATATCTCTACCGACAATGTATGAATGCTTCAATTTCTCCACATCCTGACTTACATTTGTATTTTCTGTTTTAAAAATTATTTTTATATTAATCCTGTGAATATGATGTGGTTTTCTATTGTGGTTCTGATTTGTGTTTCTTTAATAAAAAATGATGTTGAATGTAGCAAGCTTTTTCTTTTATGCCACCAGCCAGCTCCCAAATCATGACATGGAGACTAATTATTAGTTTTGGATGCTTGGCCTTAGTTTAGCTCTTATTTTAATCTGTTTCTCTTTATCTACTTTTGCCTGGGCCTTTTTACCTTTCTTTCTGTTTATATCTTACTTTCCTGCTGTCTCCATGGCTGGCTGGTGGCTGCCTGGCTTCTGGCCCCGGGCTGTCCCTCTCTTTCCCCCCTGTTCTCTTCTCCTTCCTTCTCAAGGCTAAATTTCTCCTCCTTATTCTCTCTGCCCAGCAGCCCTGCCTATCCCTCTCATGCCTAGCTATTGGCTGTTCAGCTTTTTATTAGACCAATCAGGTGCCTTATGCAGGCAAGGTGAAACAAATACAACACATCTTTGCATAATTAAACAAATGCAGCACAAACAAACGTTGTTGGAGTCCATCTAGGTTTCCTAGTGGCTTTACCCAGCAGGACTGCCTAAGAGGATGATTGGACCACGGGCCTGAGTACCAGGTGTTTGGAAGTGTCTACACATGACTGTATCTAGCAAGGGGGAGGTCCTTTGCCTCACTCCATGGCATTGTTATAAAAAGCCCTTTGGTATAAAGTTCTGGGCCAGTGGATAAGGATCCAGGTCCACCCGAGTCTATCCTGCGTTTCTCTCTGTTGCTCTCCCTCTTTATTTCTGTGTAAATTTCTTATCCCTCATTCCTCAAGAGTCCCTAAGGTAAATAAATGTGGGAGCTGGTCTCCCACAAAATGTAACATATCTTTACATCATTAATAAAGGCAGCAGAAACAGATATAACACACCTTCACATAGTTAAATATTCTACAGCATAAACAAATGTAACACATCTTTGCCCAGTTGAAATAATATTCCACAACAGTTTAAAATGTTTTCAATATGATATTTTAATGAATTCTTTGAGAATTTCATACACTTATTTTGATATATTCACCCCTACCTCTACCCATAAATCCTCTCAGACCCAAGCCTCCTCTTCCCACTCCTCTCAGCTTTGAGTCCTCTTCTGAATGTTTTTATTGGCCATTTGTCTTTCTTCTCTGGAAAGTGTTGACTCAAGTCCTTTGTTTATTTTAAAAACTGGGTAGTCTTTCAGTTGCCGAGTTTCCAAAACTATTTATATATTCTGATACTCATATCTGATATTTACTTTGTGAATATTTTATTCCATTCCATAGGTTGATTTTTTTCCTTTGTCAATAGAATCCTTGGTAGGACTAAAAGTTTTTAATTTTGGTAAAGTCTAATTTATCTTTTTTTTTTCCTTTCAATCCTCTACTTTGGGTACCACAGTGGCCTAGTAAGGAAGTCATCTTGGCTTTAACTTTTACAAAGAGAGCGACTTCGAAATGATCAGTCTTTTCGTTCTCTTTCTGTTTTGCTCAGCCATTCTATTCTTTTTTGGTCTAATAAAAAGCCATTCTGTTCTTCTCATCCTGGGGATGGAACCCAGGAAGCCACTATGCTGCTTATTCTGTGCCTCTGTAATAAATCTCAGATTAGTCAGTATCTTTGTCTATAAAAATCAACCGCTTTTGCTTAACTCAACAGAACACATTCATAAAATGAGATGTCTCCCAAGCTTAGAATTGCACATGAAAGTCAGTTTTTATTTTTTTTTTTATTATTTTTTTTTTTTTTTTTGGTTTTTCGAGACAGGGTTTCTCTGTGTAGCTTTGCGCCTTTCCTGGAACTCACTTGGTAGTCCAGTCTGGCCTCGAACTCACAGAGATCCGCCTGGCTCTGCCTCCCGAGTGCTGGGATTAAAGGCGTGCGCCACCACCGCCCGGCGAAAGTCAGTTTTTAAATCTGCTGCTACTTTGTCTTTGATACTGTCTTCACTTTGTAGATGAGAAGGTCAACTATAGAGAAATGAAGCTATTTCTCTGTGTCCCGTGGCTCAATGTGGGGATCCAGGACTCAGGTACTCTTAAATGTTATGCTCTTCCCTTTGGCCATGAAGAGACTATCAGGTTTAGCACTCAGGTACTCTTAAATGTTATGTTCTTCCCTTTGGCCATGAAGAGATTATCAGGTTTTTGACAAACTGTTGTAGAGGCTCTTTCCCTGGGGGGACACAAAGAAACAGCTACCTCCTTTGGAGAACCAATGACAAATTTCCAGAAGAGTCCATGGAAGTTCACTTTGGGCAACCATTGAGGGTACTTACAGTGCAGGGTGAGGAGATTACCTACAGCAGCCACATCACCAAGACTTGTCACCCCAGCATAGATGACTTCATAGCGGTGTAGGTGGAGTGGCCATTTCAGTTAACCTTCCACACATACACATTTTAGTGCCTTCCAAGACTATAGAATTGCTACAGAGATTGGGAGGTGCAGTAGGAGGGACTGGAGCTCAGGTGAGGGGCCTGGACTCTCTGCATGTACTAGATCCTTCTAGGAAGGAGCATTGTCAGTCAAGAAATCTGATGTCAACAATTTTTTACAAGTAGTCACAGCTACTGTGATGAAAATAATGAAATGACTGTTATGCTGGAGGACAGCTTCTATAACACACTAGGAAAAGAAGGCCCACTTCCAATAAGTAAGTTGGCTTCAGAAGGTCAACTTTGGCAGGTGCACAGAATGGCCTTAGAATATTAAGAAAGCATTAACAACAAAACATTCCTCTCCCAACTAACTACAAGAGAGTTACAGAGACAACCAACAGACAAACATCTAACAAACGCCTGGGGTAACAGTCCATCTGCATTCTAAGTTACATCAAGGCTAACAGGCGAAAGACACAACTTTCATATAGTTTAGCATTAGTGTCAACAGCTGGGAATGGTTCCCAGGTAGGCGTCAAGGAGGCTCCCACAGTGCAGTGTTTTCAGACCTGTATTTTTGCATCTACGAAATGAGAGAATTCTTCTTTTTTTTTTTTTTTTTTTTTTGGTTTTTCGAGACAGGGTTTCTCTGTGTAGCTTTGCGCCTTTCCTGGGACTCACTTGGTAGCCCAGGCTGGCCTCGAACTCACAGAGATCCGCCTGGTTCTGCCTCCCGAGTGCTGGGATTAAAGGCGTGAGCCACCACCGCCCGGCGAGAATTCTTCTTGAAACACCGGCATGGATATAATTTTTTTGGTTCATTGAATTAATTTAATGTTTAATTTTTGAGAATTTCATGCATGAGTGCTGCGCGCATGCGCGCACACACACACACACACACACACACACACACACACACACACACACGTTTTTTAAGCTAGGTTTCCCGTTGGCCTTTAAATTTCCTTAGTGTTATTTATCTCTTCTGCCTTTCCATCTTTATTACCTCCCCTCTCTTCTCCCAATTAACCCACCCCCTGCCCCATCTCCCACTCCATATCACCTGTCCTTTTATCCCCCCCTCCCAGTTCCTTCTTCCCACAACAGTCCCTTTCGATTTTCCTCGCTCCTAAGGTTACCCCAAGTTGTATACTCAAACCTAAAGTCTGGTGGCTAGGAGCCACAAATGGGAGCAAGTGAACATGTGGCACTTTCTGAGTCTGGGCTACCTCACTCAGTATAACAATCTCCAGTTTGGGATATAACCTCAACAATTTTAAAATTATTTTTATTTTATTACTATTTGTGTTTGTATAACACAAACACAATGGTGTACACATTCTGCATGGGGCATGTGGAGGTCAGAGGACAATTTTGGAGAGTCAGTTCTCTCTTTTCACTGTGGGCTCTGGGGTATGAACTCAGGTAATTAAGCCTCCATGGCAAACACTCTACCTGCTAGGCCATCTTGCCAGCCCAATAGGACTTTTACAAATTTCATGACATATGGTCAAATGATGACTTCCTAGAAAATTAGTAACATATGATCCCATTAAAAAATTAAAAATAAAAAGTAAAAAAAAGGGGCTAGTAGAGTGTTTGTCCAACATGCATCAGACCCTAGACTCAATTTCCATAAACAAAACAAAATAAACAAAAATAAATAAATGAATAGATAAAAGCTATGTTTTTTTAATCTTATTGATCATAAGTGATAATGTGCTCAGATCTCTAGAAATGAGATGATCAGGTAAATTACAGTTCACGTTCTCATGTATCATTGTACTCAACAATTATAATGTGACTATTCTCACAGATATATCTGTGTTAGTTAGGGTATCTTTTGCTGTTATAAAGCCATGATTAAAGCAACTTGAGGAGGAAAGGTTTATTTCAGTTTACAGTTCTCTATCACAGTCCACCACAAGGACAAGAACTCGGCAGGGCAGGATCCTGGAGGCGGGAACTCAGCAGGGCAGGATCCTGGAGGCGGGAACTCAGCAGGACAGGAACCTGGAGGCGGGAACTCGGCAGGGCAGGAACCTGGAGGCGGGAACTCAGCAGGGCAGGATCCTGGAGGCGGGAACTCAGCAGGGCAGGATCCTGGAGGCGGGAACTCAGCAGGGCAGGATCCTGGAGGCGGGAACTCAAGTAGGATAGGATCCTGGAGGTGGGAACTCAGCAGGACAGGATCCTGGAGGCGGGAACTCGGCAGGGCAGGAACCTGGAGGCGGGAACTCAGCAGGGCAGGATCCTGGAGGTGGGAACTCAGCAGGACAGGATCCTGGAGGCGGGAACTCAGCAGGGCAGGATCCTGGAGGCGGGAACTCAGCAGGGCAGGATCCTGGAGGCGGGAACTCAGCAGGACAGGAACCTGGAGGCGGGAACTCAGCAGGGCAGGATCCTGGAGGCAGGAGCTGACACAGAGGCCATGGAGGGGTGCTGCTTACTGGCTTGCTCCTAGTGACTTGCTCAGCCTGCTTTCTCATAGAATCCAGGACCACTTGCCCAAGGGTCCTGGGCCTGCCTTCATCAATAGTCAATCAAGAAAATGCCCCACAGGTTTTCCCACAGGTCAATCTGGTGCGGACATTTTCTCAACTGAGGTTCCTGCTCCCAGATGAATGTAGCTTGTATGACGTTGACACAGAACTAGCAGCACAGTATCTCAGCACTGAAGGCTGAGGTAGGAGGATCACTGGTTCAAGGTTAGTCTGATTCTGTCTCAAAAAACCAAGAGTTGGGCATATAGCTAAGTCCCAGAAGGCTCACATAACACCCTAACATGCACCACATCTTATACAGTCTGATTTACCATACCATTTTGTATTTTAATTAAATCCTAAACAATACAATTTATAGAATGTTATTAAATTGCCTGTTTGCATACAAATTTTTGACAATATGTATAGAGAATTGTCATCTAGAATATTTAAATGAGTCAGCATGAATGACGGGAGGTCAAATATCAAACACCAGCTTGAACTGAAACACTACTGTTCGACATGGGAGGAGAAAGCCGAATGAGGCAGAGAATGGAACTTTATTTATTTCCCACGGTGTAATGAAAATGTACTACTATTTAATCTTTGTTTTTCCTAACCTTGGGCAAAAATACTGCTATTTGTGGATCAAAACCATGAACAACAAGTGATCTGAGTTAAAGACTAAGAAAATGCCATTACAGCTTGTTTCTCTTCATATTTTTGCATAAACTATACAAACTGGGATATACCAAATAAATCAACTTGATGACATATAAACCATGAAGGAAAATAAAAAGGCAAGGGCGGCTAGTCAATGAGATGCTAATTTATGAAAAGGTTAGTTTCATTGTGTAATTACAGCTGTTTCTGTCTCTAGGAGACTGCAGGTGGGAGAGAGCTGACTGTGGAGGTAACTGTCGTGGGGTAGTGTCTTTGGGGTATTTTATATCTGGATGCAGAGAGAGAAATAAACACACTTTCACTTCGAACCTCCCGCAGAGTTAAAAGGAGTCATTCTCACCACTGACAAAAGGGACATATGGCTCCTCTCTTAGCCTCTGCCTGTGGTGCTATTCGCATATCAAGGTCTACTCTAGCCTCTAGGCTCCCCCAATCCCTACTCACAGGTGCCTGTCACAGAGTCGTTCTGATTCTCCACCCCCACCCTAAACCTCTTCAGCCCCTGAGCTTCCCTTCCCTTCCCCCAGCTTCTCTGGTTCCTATATAACCTGGCCATTTTGGCTACACACTTGTGGCCTGTTGGTTCTCCTCTTGACTCTGCTCCTGGGCCTCTCTTCACTGTCTGTTTGTCCTCTCTCCTCTTCCTTTTCTCTCTCTTCCTGTCTCATTTCCCCCTCCTTTCTCCTCTCATGACCTGGTTCAGCCTAGACCCTTCCAGATGCCTGTGGCTGGGCTCTCCCTCATATCTACCATAAACCTTCTCCTCAACCACACCTGGGAGCAGTCACGTCCTCATTCTCATTCACTAGCTGGTGTTTAAACATGCTTAGGGTACTAGCATCCATGCTAATTAGCTCCATGCACATTTACTATGCCTCTGGTTTAAGGTTATGGATTACCCAGCAGTTGTGGTTATCTCCCTTTAGGGGGCATCTCTGTTCTGCCCTCTGGTGTTCTTTAGCCTTCATTGAGAATTATGTATCTGAGCTTCACGGGATCTCAGCTGTTTGTGGCATGGGCAGCTTCACTTATATACTACATACAGTGCATCTCCTCTTGGGCAAACTCTTTGAGAACTATGTTCTCTCTCTGGCAGGTCTGATGAAAACTCCTCACTGTATTTGTCCTCACGCCCTATCATGCCTTAGCTCCAGGTGTGCTGACAAGGTAAGGGAAGGTGCCCACAGGCCACACCTTTCCCTTCACCATCAGCTGCTTCACTGCAATTTATAGCATAAATTATTAAGGGAGTATATTCAACTTGTTTGTGTATGTGAGCATGTGTGTATGCTCATCGGTGCACTGGTGCATGCATGTGTGCAAGCACACAAACATATGTGCACTGGTGTGAAGGCCCAGAGGTCAATCAACCTTAGATGCTGTTCCTCAGGACAGGTGTCCATCTTGGTTTTGAGATGGGGTCTCTTCTCTGGGACTCACCCATTAGGCGAGGCCAGCCCCAGGATTCTTCCTGTCCTGGCCTCTCCAGCACTGGGATTCAAGCATGTACCACCATGCCCAATTTTTTATGTCGACTCTGGGAACTGACCTCTGCTCCTCATGCTAATGTGGCAAGCACTTGGAAGACTGAGCTGTCTCCTCAATCCTTAACTGTATTACTATTAATTATTTATTTTTCTAAGACAGGGCCTCTCTGTGTAGTCCTGGCTGCCCTGGATCTAGCTCTGTAGCCCAGGCTGGCATCAAACTCACAGAGATCTGCCTGCCTCTCTGCCTCCTGAGTGCTAGGTTTAGAGGAATGTGCCACCACTGCCTGGCTGTATTTCTTAATAATGAGGCAACGAATAACTTGAGGCAATGAATAACTTGTGGGTAGCACTTTGGAGTATAGCTGAAGTGCCATTCCTCAGGATCTTTTAAAATATAGTACATTGTCACTGACCCAATAATCTGTGTTTTAAAGATGGAATCAGAGAAACAGTGATCACATAAGCATACATATTCACCATTTTGAAGACTAATTTAGCCACAGAATGATTTCAGAAAACTATGATCTATCAGGCCCTAAGTATGGAAATACTTCCCAAGGACATGCATTGAGAAAAGTAAATTAAATTCCTGGCTGATATTCTATAGCCATGAGGCCAGAAGTGAACTAGTTATATAAAGATCAAGTGTGACATGAATTTAAATATGGACATCTTATGTAAGACTTTCACTCCACCAGCTGTCCAAACTGTACCTTTTTATTATTTTGTAGTACTGGTACTGGGGTCAAACTACAGACTTGAGCGTGCCAGGGAAGCACTCTAGCACTAAGTGGGAGTCCTTGTCCAGTGTTTCCGCTCTGCACCAGCACTCACTGCCTCTCTGTAATTGATCCAGTTTCTGTGACTGCTGACCCCAGGAAAAGCTCTGCATGAGGAGGAGGAGGAGGTTCCAACCTTCTCCATGGTCTCCACTTGTTATCTTGGGCTTCCCCTCAAGATGACTACGGATATTCATTATAACTTACTCCAAAGGAGAGCATTTCCACTCAGGGAGGCATAAAGGAAAGGCAAGGGGCTCAATGGCCTCACCTTGTTGCCTGGGGCATTAGTCAACGTTCTTAACACAATTCCTCTTTCCTGCTCTGGACCTTACCTTTCACGGCACTGAAATCACCCGACACTCAGGAGCCCTTTTCCTTTTTTTTTTTTTTTTTTTTTTTTTTTTTGGTTTTTCGAGACAGGGTTTCTCTGTGTAGCTTTGCGCCTTTCCTGGAACTCGCTTTGGAGACCAGGCTGGCCTCGAACTCACAGAGATCCGCCTGGCTCTGCCTCCCGAGTGCTGGGATAAAGATCACCTTTGTTATTTGTAGCCTTCCAGGCCCCTAAAGACTTATCTGCTTGATTTCCTGAGGGCTTTAGAGAATTGCCAACCCTCTGTCTTTGCCCTTTTTATCTCCACATTAAATAAGGTGACTTACTGGTGTTAACTCTCTGCCTTTTACTGATGACCTGTAATAACCTTTCCAAGTTCATTGCTCTTTGATACATGTGGGGAAGGTGAAGCTCTGTCTCTGAGCTCTCTCTGTTACACGACCATGAAAACATTGTACAATATTATGCATTAGAGGCCCATCTATGCAGGGGAGTATGAATAAGGCAAAAAATTATAGTGGACCTCCTTTTTATCTGATTGTATCATTTATGCTTCTATTCATGACCTTGAGCTTTCCCAGCTATTGTACTGCTTGCTCTCCAGTTTCAGCTTGGAGCCCCCACCTCCACCCACCCACCCTCGCTCAGCACCCCACGTCCTCTAGCTCACCCGCTTGAATGAGCTTACTAGAGTCTCTGCTTGACTGGCTTTCTCTAATAAAGAGTCACTTCCATGTCCCATCCCCAGACTCCTTCCCTGCTCTCCCAAGCGGACCCAGGCTGGTCCTCCTAAGTGTTTGTGAGGCCCCCTGCCATTCTCTCCTATGATCTGCTGTGGCAAGCTGAACACTCCCCAGACCAACTCACCCCCTCAATCACTACGGAGGGAGGAGACCCCAGGCTCCTGGAGGAACTGCTGCCATTCTTCAAACTCCCTGTACTGCCTTTCCCACCCTCCACCCTCTGATGACATCATGGCCTCTGACAAAGATAGAACTGATCACAAGAAGTCTCCTCATCCCAGCACCAAACCCACCTGATCCCGGGAGCTGTCTCTTCCATTGCTGCCACTGAGAGGCTATATGGCTTTGTGTACACACACACACACACACACACACACACAGAGAGACAGAGAGAAAGAGAGAGAGAGACAGAGAGAGAGAGAGAGAGAGACAGAGAGAGAGAGAGAGAGAGAGAGAGACAGAGAGAGAGAGAGAGAGAGAGAGAGAGAGAGAGAGAGAGAGAGAGAGAAGAGAGCAGGCACCTTTCATTCGTTGTTTCAGCCTTCTGCAAATGTTCCCTCTTCTTGGTGGAGTTGGTTTTTTTTTTTTTGAGACAGGGTTTCTCTGTGTAGTTTTGGTGCCTGTCCTGGATCTTGCTCTTTAGAACAGGCTGGCCTTGAACTCAGAGAGATCCACCTGGCTCTGCCTCCTGAGTGCTGGGATTAAAGGCGTGCGCCACCACCTCCCGGCTGGAGTTGGTTTTTAAACAGCAAGTGATTTTTTTTTGTCCTGGAAAGAATCTTCCTTCAGAGCCCAAAGGCTTGGCTGTCAGAGAGGAAACACTTTACTCTCTAGTGTCCAATATTTGGGGGCCTGTGAATTGAACTGATAAAAGATTACTGGGAGAATTTTTTTTTATCAGAAGCATGTGATCAGAGAGGCAGGATTAAGGGCACATGGGCATTGTAAGGGGAGGGGAGGAACTATTTGCTTTTCTACTGCTGTAACAAGACATTAACCAAAAAGCACCTTGGGGGAGGAAAGACTTATCATCTTACAGAATTTGGAAGAACATTTGTAGTTTCCTTAGGCATTAAATGTTTTTAATAACATGTTGGTCATTGTCACTTGAGTTCCCCTGGTTGAGGACTGGTAGTCTACTAGGGCTGTGTAATAGACCTACAGCTGATTTCCAAATAGCAAATATTTCTGTACCATAAAATTCAGA